TGAACTAATTGTTATCAGCCTTTCTGAAACCGAATATTCCGAGTTGGACAGTTCGGGGTTACTCAACCGTGAGTGTCGTTTTTCACTCTGAGTTTTCCAAACCGGCTTCCTGAAACAGGGCCCTGGAGTCAGTCTAAGCTACACAAGCACAGCATCAAAAACAATAGTTCTTAACTACTAAATAGCAATGAACGTGTACTTTGAGCACAAGGGTAATGTGAAGCCAGTTTTGGTTTCTGGATGTGTTGCAATGCACGTGTTTACCTGTAGCTGTGACTGTCACACAGTGCTTGATAGATGCAAGCAGACAGAGATGCTGCTAGCGTGTGCAGAGCGTTCACCTAAAAACATGAACATCACTTTTCATTATTCATCCCCAAACTGAACAACCAGACAGTAAGACTTTCAGTCATCTTAAAATTAAGTTAGAGATTTGTTTTTAAAGTACTGACCCGATCGTCCATGATGTCCGGATGTGGTGGGGTCTCCATGAGTGTGATGGTGTAGAGGATGTCGTGTATGTGATTGCTGAGGTGGAGAACAGGGTTGGCTATGACTGTCTTGGTGGGGGCAATGTAAGCAGATAACAGGGGCAGTGTAGTAGGCAGAGGCAAAGGGGACTGCAGCTGCTTCACTGTGGTCTCCTACAGAGTATGACAAAAAGTGAATTTGCCTTCTCTGTAAACTGTTTTGTACTAATAAAAAACATAAACATATATAATGACATATGTATAAAGGTGCATGCATACCTGCTGGCTCTCCTGCAGGAGGAACAGAAGCTCCATGCGAACAGAGGTGACTCCGCCTCCCTTGGCTCCATGAAGGCTGCAGTAGGATAGAAACACTCTGAGCAGGGCCTGGTTCTTCCTCAGCCATGCCTTGCGCCTCTCAGAGTGCTGCTGTTTGGCCTGAAGCCGGCGGCGCTCCATCTGATGACGCTCATAGGCTCCGGCGTCTGTTCGCTCCAATACGTCATCTGATATGTCCACCGATGTTGAGCGTTCTCCCCAGCGCTCCACCTCTGACTCTTCCTCCTTTCCTTCCACCTGAGTTGATAATGTTTATGGTAAAAAAATAAAATAAAATAAATTACAATGAACCAGAACTGAAAAACATTTTTAGAAACATTCAGCAGTTTTTAAAATGGGCTAAAACAACATCAAATAATATTAAAGTCGACCTTGTAGTTGCAGATTTTATGCATGGCTGCTATCTCCTTCTCCAGCCAGTTGTAGAGCTGAAAGCGGAGCTTCCCTCCGTCCACCTCAAAGCCTGTAGCCAATGTACGCAGCTCTGTCATGAGGATCTTCAGACAGGCACGGAACTTCAGCTGCTCTGCTATCACGTCGACCTCCGACTCGCCCTGAAATACATGCGAGTGACTTAAAGGACAAAGACCGTGCTTTGTAGCCTTGAATTTTATATTTGGGGCTGACCCAATTTGCAAATCAAGCCCAAAAACACTCTCTGACACCTTTGCTGCAAGTTTCCAACTTTTGGAGAAGACCCCACCAAAAAAAACATGTTTTTCTTTTCTCATTCAAGAAAAATACATCTGAATGAGAGTCGAACCCTCACAATTGTTTTTTTATTATAATAACGATTAAATTACATATCCTAATAAACATTATTCTCTCCCTGCTGAGTGTTCAGGCAGGTCTTCTTTGATGTGTTAACTCCAAATAAAAATCCTTTAAATGTAGGGCTGGGCCATATTATACCGTTCACGGTAATACCGGTATAATGTTAGGCAACGATAGGAAAATGAAATATCGCGATAGAATGGGAGTAAAACGCGCATGCGCAGTGCCTTTGTTTTCATATGGACATGGCCGATCGTTGAGTGAAACAGATGAACCAGAATTGGTTTGTAAAAATGGTGCAACTTCAGTGATGTGGAACTGGTTTGGTGTTTGTCCGTCTGATACACAACAAAGCACATTTTTTTGCAGAACATGCAAGCGGCCGTCGTTATTGTCGTATTTGTCGGACTAAAATGCTCTTAAATCTGGGAGTAATCTGGGTCCTAAACTCCGTATACTTCAGGACAAACAACACTGCAGCATCACTTAGAGTTAAAAACTGTCTAAATTCTTTCATCTTTAATAAAACGATCAGCATTGCTGCTTTACCAGGTGTAACTATGAAGTTTAACTTCCAGGCATCCATGAAAACAAAAGTTATTACATTTAACGGAGTTAGAAGTTAGCAGGAAGCTAGCGGAAGTTAGCTCGCTAGTTTCGCTAGCTACCTAAGCATGATATAGCATGTTCTGACTGAGAGATTTCTGAAAAAAAAATCAAACGTACAGCTCTGCTATCACTTCCAACATAAATGAAGACAGGAAACTAAACAGCAGTGACGTTTGTAGGGTTACTGAAGTTGGGCTAGCTGGTATATAATGATGTGCTACGTGATCGCTAGCGACACAGCTATGTTAGCATAACATAAACAGTGAAGGAGGACGAACACTAACACTTTTCCACTTATAAAAGTTAATGTGAAGGTTCTTCATGGTTAGAGACAAATGCAATCGCATGGCAGGATGCTGTAAACGGACCAAACTTCAGTCAGGAGAACAACTGAGATAATCCATCCACAATACGAGGTTAGTCATTAATATACTGCAACAACATGGGAATAGAGCAGCTGCCAGAGAATTCAACATCAATGAATCAATGGTACAGAAGTGGAGGAAGCAAGAAGAATGAGTTTAATAAAGTTTGATTTATCTGACTGCTTTGTTTCGCTTAATGTGCCTTATAATCCCGTGCACCTCATGGTCCGAAAAATACGTACTGCACACTGCAGTTTAATGTTGCAAAGCACCTCTTTTTAACTTCAGTGGATATTATACATGGTTATGCTCAGGATATGTCAGCCCATTTCTACTGGAAATGCCTTTTGGTTAAACTTTCAGCAAGGAATTTGCATTTGCACTGTTACATTTTTATAAAGCTTTAATGTACATAAAAAACAGCTGCTTGTTTAAGTGAAAATAAATGGAAGGTTGTCTTTTTGCGCTAGTAATGTTGTGGAGTTGTATTTTGTCTCGCATCAATTATATCGTCGGTTATATCGTTATCGCAAATTTTCAAATATATATATCGTGATAAATATTTTTGGCCATATCGCCCTGCTCTATTTAAATGTAACATTTTGGTTTGTATCTGTCGTCTCCTATATGCCAGATAAGACAGTAAAGAAACTAGACAAGGATGTGCCTTCATACAACATCAAAATGAAGTTGTTTTTTTCCTGTTTTGGTATTTTAACTGTGCAACCAAAGGAAAAAAACACAATAAAATAAAATCTGAGATCTCCACAATTACTCAAGGAGATTCTAGATATTATTGCTACCTGTGAGTCCTCTCTTTGCAGTTTCTGGCTGCCTTTTCCTGAACCTTCCTCTCCTTCAGTTTCCAGCTCTGGTTTCTTCATGGTCAGACCACCATCGTCCTCATCCTCATCATCTTCCTTGACATCTCCCCAGTCCAGCTTCAGCTCATCTTCCTCTACCTTCACCATAGGCTGGCTCCAGTCCAACCCACCAGTGCCATCATTTCCTCCCCAGGCCTGTGTCGGTGCTGCTGGAGAGCCCCAGTCCAAACCTCCCTGAGTGCCATTTTCCAAGGGTTGGCTTGTGTTTAAATTGGCCTTGGATGAAGCCTTGCTGAGAGGCGATGAGCCAGACTTCTTGCAAACCTTGGGGATCTTGGAAAGTACTTCCAGAGCTAAAACTGGGCAGCCCACCTACAAGATTCATAGATTATATAATATGTATATGAACTTTTGTTATATAATCTCGGCATGCATGCTTTTGTAGTTATCAGAATGATACATAGGGGGATGGAAGTGATAAATTACAATTATCTTTCTTATTGTAACAAAGTGGATTTTTTTGTCTACAATGATGATTATGTAAAAGGTATGACATCAAACAGCAACAGCTAAGGCCTAAATCTGAATCCTAACTTCACAAACTCTGGTGGGTCAAGCAAAAATGTTAGTTTCTTAGTTACAGCTTATCTAATTTCCTTCATTTCACACTCAATGACATCCTGGCTGGGTTAATGTAATTGAGAGCCTCCAAGTATAGTTTTTATTCCAGTCTATTTTTTCCTGCTATAACACTGCTACATTTCATTTCCCTTTAGAGGAGTAGAAAGAGAGCAAATTCAGCAGATCTTCATGGAGCAAAAATACAATAATGTTCTGTGATCGAGCCCAACAACAATATCATGACTTATTACTGCATTTCTGCTAAACTACAAGGCAAAAATATTCTTTCTCTTTCCCTGCAAAATTGTATGTGACTGCAGTAAACTGCGTGTAACAAATTTTGCATCCTTTGATAGTGGAAGTTGATTCTTGTGTAAAGCTGTTTGCTGTGTTTGTGATTTATTTATGAAGCTCATGAACATCACGGTTTCACCCTATCCTGTTTACCCTAGTCCTGCGATTTCAGAGGAAGCAGTCTGGACATTAAAAATTGATCATCAGTTACAGGCACAAGCAACAAAGTGCACTTGAATTTATAGGCTAAAAATGTTCTTTGCTAGTTGTGTCAGAAGGCGATGATTTCACTAATCTTTTACTCTTGTCCTTACCATTTTAATGTTTACTTCAATTGTAACTGCCTCACTTTATATGTGTAAGTATAAATATGTAGTATAATGTACAAGTTCCCAACTCGATCAAGAGAACTGGATTGGAGTAAATAGCTAGATTAGTATGGACTCACCTTGAAGTGTGCATTGGCTGTAGTGAAGAACAGTTTGCGCTCTATGAGGTTGATCTCATCTGCGCTGCTCTTTTCAGCAGTGAGGCCTACTGTTGTTGCTGTGCCCGCTGGATTTGCAAAGTGGCGGCGAATGATCAAAGGGTGTGTCCTTAAGTAGTTATAGAAGCTAAACACCACAGGGTTGCAAGCCTTAACCATCACATCTGATGCACAAAAATGGAAAGAAAAGGGAGAAAATATTTATTTCAGGTGAAAACAGCATGAATAATGCACAATGGAACATGCCGTTTAAAAATCACTAAAATGTCTTCAACCAACTAACCAGGGTTCTCATCGTCCTCTTTTGGGATTCGCTCCAATAATGTGTCCAAGGCTCGCGTGTAGTCTTTCATGATCCAGTAGGCTATGCTGCGGAGGAACGGATCGGGGTGCAACCTGGAACAGTGGTAACCACTCCCGTCCCTATTGCAGCCCAAGACCTTCTCATAAAGGAGGCCTTGGCAGGTGGATGAATTCTCAAAATCAGCCTCATACAGCCTTGCTACTATCATGGCTAACTGGAGATCCTCCATCTTCTCCAGCAATACCTAAACACCATGAAACAGCGTGATGAGTTAAACGGTGCAGGTTTTTTTCTTTAAAGAAATAACAAGCCAAGTGCAAAAAGTTAATGATTTCTGCAAGGTACAAACAGAAACTCACACTTCCTTTTCTGCCCATCTGTATATTTTGACTGTGTGTTGAGAAAAATCTAGGCCAACAAAGACTATGTGCTACTGTTATGCATCTTATTATTTATATAATTTAGGCTTCTCTTTTGTGATTTAAAGGCTGAAGAATATCCCACTCTGTCATCAACATATTTCTGTACCAATATCACCTTAAAGAGAGACGACTTTATGATATTGCTGCTGCAAGTTACGCTGAAATATGCTACTGGAGTAAACACAGGATCAGTAAGTTGTCTGTGCACTATTAACAGTCCTCAAACCTCTATGGCATCTTTGAGGGAACCAGCCAACAGGAAGAAGGCAGCCGACTGTTCAAAGCGCTGCTTTCCCAGTAGGGAGAAAGCATTTTTGAGAGCTGCCTTTCGCCAGCGGTCTTCACTGAAGTTGTTTTTGAAGAACTGAGTCATCTTCTCATCATGCTGAGACCTGAAAGAACAAAGCCACAGAGTTTGGTATCCATTCTGCTTTAGTAAGAAAATTCACTTAAAACCTCTTGTTCTGAACATTGGAAAAATTATTCAAATTAATTATGTGTTTAGAGAAAATGTCCAACCTGAAGAGTCCCCACAGGACAGCTTTCTTCTTCATGGCCAAGTAGAACAGGGCAGCATCTAAAGGGTCATTTTGCCTCTGGAATGCAGCTTTTCCCAACTGATTATAAACAAGCAATAGTCGTTATTTAGTTATTTCTAAAGAGTTATCAATATTTACCAATTGCTTTGATTCATAAAGTCTTTACAGTAACTCCTAGCTGTTCGATATTTATTAGAAATGGAAAACTCCTGTAGGAAATTAATTACATTACAGAGTAAACTGGATGGTAAGTTTCCTTTTCTAGTTCATATACTCACCTAGAAACTGAGGCAATATCTGAGTAAAATGACATTTTATACAGATATTGCCATAATCAGCATTACATTTTGATTTTTATGTATATAAATACGCATATTTATTCTGGTACCTTCTCCACCATTTTCCTCAGAGTGTTGATGTTTCTTATCCACCAACCCACACCCACGGCCCGGAGCTCAGACCACTGTGGGTCGCCTCTCTGCATTGCTGGGATCATGTTCAGCATCTCTTCCTCTGCCTCTGAGTGGAACGCCCATGCAAAGTGACACGTTGAGAGGCCTGCAATAGAAGCAGATAGTTGGATCGGGATAGTGAATAATAGGGATAGTGAAAGGAGAAATATACCCCATAACTGTCATACAAAACGTTTTGTATACTCGTCTCACAGCAGCAGCACCATGAGCAGAGTACTTTACCTTGGTGGAGCAGCTGCATGCGGTAGAGTGGGGGCAGAGAGGTGAGCAGGCAGGTATGAAGACGCATGGCGAGCAGGTACCTTAGTCCACACTCATCAAGAGCCTCGCCACCTACACAAATACCAGCAGTTGATCAGTTTTCCCCCCCAAAGACCACTCAACAAGAGGGCAAAGACCTTTAAACTCAAGTATCACTTGAGTTCATGTGATCCTGTCACACAATAGGTCTCCAGTCCTTGAACCTTCTTACCCTCTTCTCTGCTTACTTAGCACAGGAACAACCTGCTAATGTCTTCCTCACAAAAGACTAAATAAAAAGAACGAAAAACCGAAGTAAAAAAAGGCAAAAGATACTGAAAAAGAGAAAGGAGCAGTTTAACCACCAAGATTTGATAGCTGGCGAATGACTCAAGAAAAGTATTCCTTTCCTGTTTGTTAAAAACATTTATTTAACTTTAATGCAATATTGGACCGATTTGCTAGGTTTCAATTAAATACCAAGACTTAGAACCAATTTGCTTGCTAAAAATATGTATAGCAGGACTGAGGAGGGGGACCGTAGTCAACCTTTACTGCAGGAGTGCAATATCAGTAAGGATGCTGTTATGACTTCTTTTTAAGGAATACAGTGTTTATGCCAAATGTCAGATGTATTATATTGTACACAGTCTCCTGTACATATCATAAGTATGACTGGAACACACACAAACTAGACAGACCTGTGTACTGTTGATCAGTGGAGCTTGCGACCTCAGCACTTGTGGTTGCAACAGTATCAGCCAAGGCCACCAAGAACATCTGCTCTAGGCGGGTCAGGCCTGGAAGGCTGGAGTGCATGAGGTGACTGGACAGCACCTGGACACAATTGAGAAGAAAGCAAGTGAAGCAGAGAACTGATAAACAAATATTACTTCTCCATAAGTAGATTTTTATGTAAAAGGAAGCCTATTTTTTATTTTATTTTTACCTGAGCATGTTCTGGTCCAAAATAGGTAGGCCCATATTGAGAGAGGTTAATAACTCGGGATTTTTTCTCTGGTTTATCTGTGGCAAAGTTTACAAAGTCATCCGTGGTAACTGTTGGCACCTGTTAATGCAGGAAGAGAAGAGTTTAAAGTCCTTATGTGCAGGTAAACCTTTAACAACAAAATCTGTTCAAGTCTCAACTCTTCCTACCTGGAAGAGGTCAGCATACTGGTCCTCTGTGGACTTTTGGGCTGCCTCACCATCAGTCCCTTTAGTTCCCTTAGCATTCTCTTCAGGTCCTTTATAAGAGGTGTCTAGGTCAGCCAACATGAGGGAGTACAGAGGCAAGGGAGGGATGGAGTTGATCTCTGTGTAGTCCCTGCCTCCGTCACGGCCCGACACTATGGTGTCTTTTGCTGTGCTGCCAGTAACGCTGATTGTCCGAGACAGATGTCTCCTGGCTCCGCCCTCACCTGCCTCCACATCCCTAACCACAGCGACTTCTCCAGCAATACATTTTACCAGGTGGGCGAGGATGGCCTGACACACATAAAAAAAGACCAAGACTTTATTAAAATCAGCTAATCCGCATCACATCGTGTGAAAAACACTGAATAAAAACTCACTAGATTTCACTTGGATGTTTTCACTACTGAATGAGGTAGAAATGGACTCACCTTGGCACGCCGAACTCTGCCCAGGTCCATGAGTTCCAGCAGCTGGGTTGGATGGTACTGAGGAAGAGTTGGGGACAGCGAGTGAGCTGCTTCAAAGAGTCCTCCTTCTTGAAGTCCTGCCGGGGCACGAAGGGCCTCATCTACTGCAGTACTCCCCTCAAACACACTCTTTGACCTGGCCCTCCCTTCAAAGATCGAGGAGGACACTGTGCTTTGACCTCCGGCTATGTCTGCTGATGAAAGGTTGCCTTCTTCTCCCTCACCGGGCTTCTTGTCCTGATGCCACTGTGCATACACATGCATTTCACAGTCCATGCCCACCACTAGGATGCCATCCCTTACCCAGGAAAGGGAGACCGGCAGCGATGGGGTGCCATCCACAGATGACAGAAGGTCAATGGTCCGAAGCAAAATCCAGCGTGAGCGGATCCCCTGTTTGATACTGCCCCCTAGAGGAAGGGTGATAACAGCCACACCCTCCTTGCTGCTAGTCTGCTCATTGACCACACCAGAGATACGGCCATACATAAGAATGTTGGAGCCCACTCCCACAGTGAGGATGTGCGATCCATCCTCCTTTGACAGCCAGTCCAAGTGCACGTAGTGCTTAATGTTGGGTGAGCTATGGTCTCTGCTCATGTACAAGTCAGACCTGAGGTGAAGAAAATGAATAACCTATCAGACATACAAGCAAAACACTTAGTCTGACAGAATATGATAAACGTAATAGTTCCTGACCTGCTGTAGACAAAGAGATTTGAGTCCACACTGACTCTTGGATCCAGGGTGGAAGAGGGTCTGGCGAAATCATCCAGGTGGACAGTTTGCTCTAAAACCCACTCTGAGCCACCAGTAGACTCACACTCGTAGATGGACACATGCATAGAGAAGTCTTCTATGGAACTTAGACTCTGAGGACAACAGAAGACCGTTTGATTTAACATGACTGCTGTGACAAATCAGTAAGACAGTAAGGCTCTTAATAATACTTTTTACATGCACCTTAACACTAAATACACAGACTTGCTTATAAGCCAGACTGCTGATGTTAAATCTGAACTTATTTTCACTTCAGTGACATCTAGCTAGTTTTTAATCCCTTCTCACTAATGCTTATCATTTGTAGATGCAGCCCAAATGCAAAACTTGATCATTCTCCACTTTACATAAAAGTAAAATAATATGCTGACACAGGGCATTAGTATGCATTAATGGGAGAGTCCAGGGTCCAGCCAAATGATGTTTCTTTGTCCAATTTACATTTTTATTGCATTTTTCTTTCACCTCAAGGTAATTTACACAATTTCTATGCTGCTAGTTTTTTTTTTTGTGGTATAATACATTCACAATACAAATACAAATTCTAATTTCCTACCTGTCCTTGTCGTGGCTGTTTGAAAGCCACAGCCAGCCTGCCAATGTAAGAACATGACACAGCTACAGGCCGGCCTGACACACACACAGCACTGTTGTTGTCCTCCTCTTCATTCATCAGAGCCCAGGGCTCCCAGCGGTACACCCGGTTGTCCTCGCCATCCATACCATTCCCATCATCACCCTCCACAGCACAGTGCCAGAACCGCACTCGGGAATCAGAGCAGGTTGTAACAATCAAGTATGGAGCCAGGCACACGGGGTAAATAGAGGAGGAACTCAGATGTCCTGGTAGAAAGAGGAGACAAAATGAAATTTAAGAAGATTTTTCTTTAGCATATTCTTTCATTTAAACCCACCAGGAAACTAATTTCCTCAAAACTGAATGATAAAGACGCACCACCTATTGAATATACTGTGTCGACAGGCATTGAATTATTACAGTAAGTAAGGACAGGTGAAATGATGCATTAATTTATGTGTAAAAAGAAAAAGAAAAAAGAGTTTTTACTAGTGCTGTCAGCGTTAATCTGTCAGCTGCACGGCGTCAACGCGTTAGCGAGGTTAGCTCGTTAATGCGTTAGCGCTGTGCAGCCCCACGCATAGGGCGACCCGCGCTAACTCGCTAACGGAGATTTACCGCGTTAATGCGGTTATGGCGTTAACGTCATTTTAACAAGATTAATGCTGACAGCACTAGTTTTTACACATCAGCAACAACAGCATGGTTATACTCATAAGTTTATATTCCAACCTGCAGATGGGGTCGCCCTAGTAACCTCCACCCCATGAGGAAGGTCAAGGCGTTTGCTGTAAACCAGCTTCGAGCTGAGGATCAGTTTGCTAGCAGATTGCAAGTTAGCTGTTGAAGTTGACCGTGGCAAGGGTCTGACAGGAGACGTCTCTGGAGATGAGTCAGCATTCACAACTTGATTGGGAACCATCAGCTGGCTCTGGAAGCTGTAATCTGGGCTTGGCTCATCTGCACACATAGGCAACACATCAGAAGAGACAAGTTAATCTAAATTAAAAAAAGCAGACTTCACATTATTTTTCAATTTCACCTATAAATGCTTTGCTTCACGCACCAAAACACTTACCCACACAGGCCTGCACAGACTTAAGATGTAGATGCCACATCTGCAGAACAGAGTTTCTGTTGAGATCCTTTTCGATCACCACCAGGAAAAACTTCTCAGAGAAGGGAGGAGGTTGGTAATCTGGATAGAGTAAAATGCAGTATTATCGTCATCTAATGACAACTGGGCTGTAAAATAGGAATAAACAGACCGACACAGAGTTTAACAGAGTGCTATACCTCCCCCAGGTGGAAAGGCTGGTGTGTTTGCTTCTGGTTCTTTCTGGGGCTTGTAACCTAGAATGAAGTCCTCTTGGAAGACATGTAGCAGCTGTGTACTGGCTCCACACTGGAGGCACATGGACATAGCATCACACAGTTTACTATATCTATTGATCAGGAGGTTTCAGTAGTTCATGCCAAGAATTTTGGTCTGTCATTGATCTGAAGTGGGTGAGAAAAAATACAGAGCAGCTGCTAACCTGGTTTGTAATAGCATCCAACTCTATGATACAGCCGGGTCTGGCTGTGGACTGCTGGCTGACGATATTGAACACTTCGCCCACGAGTTTCTAAGAAGAGATATACAAGGAAAAAATAAAACACAAAAAAAACAACAACACATAATCTACTTTGTATTTCATCATACTGCATTTCATTTAAAACCATTGGAGTGGTAGAAAGTGTTGCATAATATTTTTTATATTGTACAGAGGAATGAAGTCTGGAAATTGTTATAAGGGCATGAGGAAAACACATATTTTGCTTCAAAAACAACATGGCCACATGTCCTATAAATTCAGGATCTGTGTGACTGATGTAATAGTTGTTAGGTTATTTAAAAGCTGGCCTATAGTAAAAGTTAACATCTGTGAATAATGTGCGTATTTGACAGCTGCTGTTTTATGGTTGGTGTACACCTTTAAGCCAAACAAAGAAAGAAAAGCGTCTGAACTTTAAGTAACTTGAAGACGTTTCACCTCTCATCCGAGAAGCTTCTTCAGTTCTAAGGTCAAATGGTGGAGAGTCCCAGATATAAACCTAGTGGGAGTATCCCCCCACAGAGGGACAAAAGGACCCCCTGATGATCCTCTAATCGCCTGAGCCAAGGTGTGAAACTGGGTGTGGGTCCCAATCAGCCAGAGTTTCGGGTGAGTTCATTGTGAAACCTGGCCCCACCTTATCATGCGAATTCCTGAGGATCAGATGGCCCAGGATGTGAGTGGGCGTTAAGGCGTCTGGGAAGGGATCTCAAAACTGGATTATAGATGGCAGAGAGTTGGTGTCGTAAACCACCGCCTCTGTTCAAAGATGGTCGCTCACAGTGGACATAGATGGCTTCTTTCACTCCTCTTTCAAACCATCTGTCCTCTCTGTCCAAAATGTGAACATTGGCATCCTCTGAAAGAGTGTCCTTTGTCCTTATAGATGCAGATGGACTGCTGAGTCTTGTCCTGTGGAGGTGGCTCTTCTGTGTTGTGCCATGCGCTTGTGAAGTGGCTGTTTGGTCTCTCCAATGTAGAGGTCTGGGCATTCCTCCTGCACTGTACAGCATACACACATTGTTAAGTCTGTGTTTTGGGCGTTTTGTCTTTCGGGTGAACCAGTTTTTCTCCAAGCATAACATCTCGGTGCATTTCAGACCCAGCAACACGCTCAGACAAAAACTGGTTCACCCGAAAGACAAAACGCCAAAACACAGACTTAACAATGTGGTGTATGCTGTACAGTGCAGCGAGGAATGCCCAGACCTCTACATTGGAGAGACCAAACAGCCACTTCACAAGCGCATGGCACAACACAGAAGAGCCACCTCCACAGGACAAGACTCAGCAGTCCATCTGCATCTTAAGGATAAAGGTCACTCTTTCGAGGATGCCAATGTTCACATTTTGGACAGAGAGGACAGATGGTTTGAAAGAGGAGTGAAAGAAGCCATCTATGTCCACTGTGAGCGACCATCTTTGAACAGAGGCGGTGGTTTACGACACCAACTCTCTGCCATCTATAATCCAGTTTTGAGATCCCTTCCCAGACGCCTTAACGCCCACTCACATCCTGGGCCATCTGATCTCAGGAATTCGCATGATAAGGTGGGGCCAGGTTTCACAATGAACTCACCCGAAACTCTGGCTGATTGGGACCCACACCCAGTTTCACACCTTGGCTCAGGCGATTAGAGGATCATCAGGGGGTCCTTTTGTCCCTCTGTGGGGGGATACTCCCACTAGGTTTATATCTGGGACTCTCCACCATTTGACCTTAGAACTGAAGAAGCTTCTCGGATGAGAGGTGAAACGTCTTCAAGTAACTTAAAGAAGTCCAGACGCTTTTCTTTGCAAGCTCCTTTGAAAACCCAGATACATTCACATAAACCTTAAACGAAAACTATCACATTGCAGTGAGCAATAACAAAACAGTGCATATATACTCACAGATGTTTCAGGATCTGACAGCTCATCCAGTAGTTTCCTGGCATCCACAACAGCTTGATAGAGACGCAGGTTTTTACCATCTGATGCCACGAAGCAGGCACTGGCACTGTTACAGTAAGTTCCTGTTAGACACAACACAAAGATTGCAGGCTTAATATTGGGCAATGCACATAACTCTGAAGGACACTCATAAATGGAGCCATCCAAGAAAACTTCTTCAAAGAGCAATAATCGGGACAAACTAGATTGAGAATGGGTTTGAATTAGAAAGGGTATATATTTTTTCCCTTTCAAGACTTATGGCATCAGTATCAATAAGACAGAAGAACACTGCATTTTGACCGCAAAGCTGGAACATACTGCTGATTCGTTTGCTACTGCTGGAACTGAGTAGCTGTGACAGTTGTTCAGTATTTCCTGAGAAATTCTGAACTTAATATCCTCCTGCCACCTGGACAAAAAAAATAACTAAGTGCAGCAAGAGTCTCAGCAAGAGTGAAAATGTCCCTCTTAATCAAAATTCTTGTTATTAAGCTACTACTACTACTACTACTACTACTACTACTACTACTACTACTACTAATAATAATAATAATAACAACAACAACAACTCAAAAATCAGCTTTATATAAAAATGTACGGTATATTTACCAAGTACAGTGCTGGGTACTAGCGTGGGTAGCCAAGCAACATTGCTGAAGGCAGAGGTGTGCAGAGAGTTGATACGGGCCAATTCTGAGACGCCTCCAGTGCAGGACAGGGGTCCAATGTGGTCCACTCGCCACAAAATCAGCTCACTGTAGATGGCATTGGGGTCATGGAAGGTCCTTGTAGCTGCATTACGAAGCTGCTTCCTTAATAATGGATAACAGTTACAATTACTAGCCTATCACCAGCAAACTAAACCCATTATTGACTGCTTCAGTTCTCTACCTCTACTTCATGCTATACCTGGGAAGACCCTTTGGTAGGGGGAAGGTAGGAGGCTGCTCTCCTTCCAAACTTCCAGGGGCTGAGGGAGGGGTGAGCAGGGCATTGTGGTGAGAGGAGGTCAGCAGCAGCGGCAGCACTGTGTGACAAGCTTGGTCATTCAGATGGAAACGATGGCCGCAGTACCGAAACTTATGAGATACTGTCAGTACATTGGAGAAGTCAGAACGCTCTGCAAATGTCACAGCCCACTGCAGACAGAGGAATCAAAGCTTTTTGTGAGGGAAACAGAATATGCAAAAAAACATCAAATTATAGTGTGAACTGCAAAATGATAGATTGTCTGAGAATTGCGTCGAGCCTGTGGGAACGTCTTGGGCTAAAGTGGCAATTTATCAAAACATGTGAGCAAAGCCCTCAGAAAGAAGAGCGAGGTTAACCTCAACCTCGTACCTGGTTAAGAGATCCATCAACATGCTTGGAGACCATCATGACAGCTGGACTAATGTGAGTGTTGGGAGGGGAGGTCACAGCAGCAGAACTAAGGCCAGCTGAGGCTGAAGCAGAGTGGGACACATGTTGGACTATCCTTCCCTGCTTGCCTACTCCAGCGCTTACACCCTCAGTCAAAGTGCAGGCATACATCAGGATGTTTTTACTCAGTGAGTTGGCATCTCCTGTGGGAAACGCCACCGGAATACGGGAGGAGAAGGACACCTGGAGGAAAATAAGAAACAGTTGCGAATATTTTCTTAGTGTCTTAACCCTTAAATCAACATAATAATTCAGCTTCCTAACGATATTCCTTTTGGATTACTCATCTGTGCTAAACCAACTCAAACATGTATACAACTTGTATTGTGTAGATATGTTTTAATATTAGAGCATTAAAGTCTTTTCATACTCTACTGTATTTTTGTAGTCAATGCAAAAGTTATATTTTCGAACAAATTTAAACATCTGTGCAGCTGAAGCCCAAAATTCAGTCCTTTTAAATTTAATATCCTGTTTGGTCCTCCTTAGAGGAGTGCTGAAGTGCTGCTCTTTCTAGGACAGCCGGATGCTACAGTGCAAGCTTCTCGCTGCATATCAAAGTGAAAATTAGGTGAAAAATTACTTGGGCTCTAACTTTATTAAAATGACAAAGACTTCCTTCAGTAAGTTATAACAGCTTTTGCTAATTAACATTAATTCTGTGGGTAACTTGATAAAGCACAGAGTACTCTCCATAATTCTCTATTGGAGAAAATGAAAAAAATATATTCTGAATGTCAAATACAGCTGGAGGAATGCTGAGTCAATTTATATTTGAGAAAAAACAGTCACACAGTTTGTGCTGTGAGCAAGGTGTGTACGAGCAAGTAAACGACTGAATTCAATTTAAAACAGAAAAGTTACAATTTAGGAAAAGAGATTATGATTTGCTTGAAAAATGTTTTTCATATTCTGAATTTTTGTGCACACCTGAACCTGTCTGAAGATGCCCTGGTTGAATTCGTCCAAGTATTTTACATGCCAAACCAGGAAAGATCCATCCAATGGATGGATGGTAAACAGCATGTCCGGGCTCTTGTTCCACTCTGTGATCAGAGTCTCCATCTTCCTCTCTAGCAGCATGGAAGGCAGAGGCATGCTAGAGCTGGATCCTGGGGAGGATGCCTTGGTGCTTCCCTGCTCCCCTGACTCACCCTCTTCTCCTTGCTCTGAGGATGCTTTGTCAGACATCTCATCCAGGTCTGGAAAAAACAAACAAAAACAAAAAATTATTTAGTCTTACACGTGCCCTTTAACATGGTAGGTTTTAAGCAGCCTTATATATTGTTAGCCTGGTCATACCAAAGTCAAACTTCATAGGGGATCCTTCAGGATCCAAGGGGTCCTCAGTAGTTTGGTCCAGCTGTTGTTCAGAGAATTTACGGAGTTGCAGCATAAAAAGGTCCATGGATGAAGTGAAGCTAAGATCCTTATTATTGAGCCAGTGAACCACAAAGCCTCCGCCACCTGTGCCATCGTCTGGGTTAAACACTGCAGAGTCAGCTAGCACTGATGGGATATCTGACAGACAGAAACATGGCAGGAGCACAAATATTACACAAGCTTAGATTAAGTTTACAGCTCCATTCAATGTGCACATTGATTCATTTTAAAACCCAGTCCAACAAAAAACACTACCTGTGTTGGGATTAATACTGGCCGAGATATGGAAGTGACACAGGGCATTGGCATGATGAGCGATGTGGCGGTGAGTGTGTGCATCCTGTGTGCCCAGCTGAGAGGGCAGCAGCTCACTGTGTGCCACTAAAGCAGAGGACCGTCGCCGGCCACGGCGCAGATGTTTTAGGTGGTGGATTGACTAATTAGAGAGGGAGCACAGGAATAAAGGCAAGAAAACAGGTCTGTGTTATTCCTTTCTGAGAAATATTCCATTTTTTGGTCATTTATGAATCATTTCTGCTGAGATTGAACTAAGTGTACCTCCAAAGCATGTTGGATCTTGTCCTTATTGCCTGCCAGGCCTGGCAGGCTAGAGCTGAAGGACTGTGTGTTCTCAGTGATCTGTCCACCAAGCAGACTGTCTTCAGGTAACAGGGTCTCCGACCATAATCTACACACTCCATCCTCACAAGATGTCAGCAACACATTGCACACTGAACCCCTAGAAAATAACACAAGAATGTAATCGTCCTTCAGTAGTTCTTTTTTTGATTCATTTTGCCTTTATTAAAAATGTTCAGTCAAAACACATTTTAGGGACACAACAACAATTTCTTATAACAAGAGTTAAGTATGCATACCCCATGACTAAAATAAAATTATTGCTGGATGCCCAGTTATTGAACCACATTTTTAACCAAGTGTGCTGAATATCGTTCTGGCCTAGTAACGCATCACTCAAAGGAGGCAAAACCTCATTTTATAGCCAAAACATTATGTCTGGCTTTAAAAGACAACAAGCACGCACAACAAAAGTGGACAAATAAACACGTTTACAGCATATTATGTGTGTGATCATGTGTGCTTTCTTACTTGGGCATGTACTTGCTGGTCTTCCTCCAGGACACACCAGTGACCGAGCGAGGATGAGCCAAGTAAACAAAGGAGAAGTGAACAGGAAGAGGCTTTTTATCAGACGGGTCCTGGACCACCACTGCGGATCTCCAGCCAGTAGTGGGATACCAAACCTTGAGTAAACAGTCATCCTGTACATGTGCAGAAAATCATTATATAGGCAAACTGAGGTACAAAAAAATGTTTCAACAATTTGCCATTTTTAAAAATGTTAACATGAATCTTTAACCTTTCCAATTGTGGCAAAATACTCTCCATCAGGAGACCACTTGGCTGCGTGGACAGACGCAGCAGTCCTAAAAGAAAAGGAAAAAGAAACAAAAACAATATCAGCTATTAAGGTTTCTCATGTGATGCCAAACACTTTCCTCAAGAGCTGTTCACCATGTTGGACATAATGCAATCAATGGTTGTTAGGCAATAAGATTCTCAACTGGCAGGAAATGGAAGCTCCATCAGATTGAAAGCTCTCGTTGAGTGAAATCCGTCACAAAGAAAGTGCTATTGCAAGATGTCACTGAGCAGTCTATAGCAGTGGTCCCCAACCTTTTTTGCGCCACGGACCAGTTTATGCCCGAAAATATTTTCACGGACTTGCCTTTAAGGTGTTGTGGATAAATACAACAAAATAAAACTAATACCGGTACCGAAAAAAATATTTATTCATAACACACGTGAAAAGACCCAGGAAAACAGAGTTAACGATAAAAACGATAACAAAATAACGCTGAAAACCGATAAAAACCCTGAAAACCTGAGCCTCAACTCTCGCGGCCCAGTACCAAACGACTCACAGACCGGTACCGGTCCGAGGCCCGGGGGTTGGGGGACCGCTGGTCTATAGGACTGCAACTGTAACTGAGAGCTTCAGCCATTATTTTCCCCAGCAACCACTTCCAACCTTCTGGGAAATACTCGTTTCCCCCCCCTTTGCACAGGTGTTTGCCAGATGGTCAAGGATCGATCTCTATTCCTGTGTGCGTGGGGTTTTATTCACCTGCTCCTACACTGTCACCATAATTTTCACACGTTCAACGCAGCAAAAAGTTAACCTCACATGGTTAGTGGTCAAGCGTCAGCAAAACCCTTAACATCCACTTCTCCATGGAAACAGTCTGTTTCTTTGTGCACAAGGTATTGTTGGTCGCAACCATTTCGTAGTTTTCTGTTAGTCATCATATGACAGTAACAGATGTGGTTTCATATGTCTGTGTCTACTCACACAGCTTAAGGCGTGAGAGCGACACTGCCTGCTGACTCAGAAGACTAGTCTTCGTGTAAGGCCAGATGTGTTTGAATAATCAGTAACTGACTATAGGTTTTATGAGGGAAAGGGAAGATTACAGAACGTATTCTGCACAATGAAGTGATTAACTCTTCACTGCAAAGTAATAGTGAAAAAAATAATGTATGCAAAATATTCAGTTGTTGCCTCAATGCTACACAAACTAGAATAACTGCCTTGTTGCAGCCGACATCCATGTCTGGGCATGCTCATCATATTACACTGTGTGTTGTAAAGTGTTTTTGAAGAACATGATGGTCTGTGAACATTTGTGTATATATATATATATATA